AAAACACTCATTTACAAAACTCTCAGACTTCACACCAAGTACGGTGTCATGTACAACCCAAACACTTATTCCCATACCATCAGTCGTCGTTGCATTCTCAGCCTCAAAGACATCGTGTTTATCCTTGCCATCATTCAACATCGCAGCACAATCTACCTAGACAAGCTTCGAGAGGAGCTCTGGCTCAAGTGTCAAGTTCGTATCACTCCATCTACACTTTCTCAAACTCTTCAGGGCCTCCACATCACTCAGAAGGTCATCTCCACATCTGCCTCTGAGAGGAACAAGGAGTCATGCATGCTCTACATGAATTGCATCGCAGCAGAAGTGCCAGACCCGAATATGCTCATCTTCATTGATGAAGCTTCCAAGGACAAGCATACCTCCACTTGCCTGCCCACATGGGCAAACAGTCAGAGGTCTATGTTGCCAAGTCAGGAGGTACTTCATATGTGGAATGCACTACTCTATTCTCCCTGCCATCATGCTTGATGGCATCATCACATACGATATCATCGAGGGCGCTGTTGATGGAGAGTGATTTCTGCGATTTCTGAAGGAGCATGTTGTAAGTGAATCATCTTCAAGCTGGTACATGCTAATCTATCCAACAGATGCCTTTTACCAACCCATGTCCTGGCCCCCACAGCATTATTATTATGGACAACTGCCACATTCACCATGGTGAGGAAATTCGCAAGTTAGTTGAAGATATGCATCATACATGACTATCCATCAATTGATATTTCTTTCGCTGATGTCTCACAGTCTGCAAGTTGATCTATCTCCTGCCATACTCACCAGACTACAACCCCATCGAGCAAGCATTTTCTACAATCAAGGCATACTTGCATCACCACTCGGATGACTTATTGATGATGGCAATTGTTCACGCATGTCAAAGTATTATGCCTGAAAAGGCTGAGGGTTATTTCTGCACATCTGGGTACATAGTGTAGTGACTGTATCACTGTGTCTAAGTAGATTCCCCCTTCAATTACCAGTCGATTTTGCATGCAGGTTCAATGTAGTATGAATGTGAAAAATGGCCTCTAGGCTGACATTGCAATTGATACAATACCTATGTATGTGACATAGGCATTACATGAAGCAAGGTATGTAGGCATTATGTAGAAAAAATGTTGTCCTCTGATTCCTCCCCAGTCTCATCAACGATGAAACCCCAGGGCACAGGTAACCACTGATCTTGACTCTCACAGTGATAATAAAGGTCGTAGTCAAGCAGGGCTGGCTTGCTACCATTGTCATCTTTGTTGATTGTCATCAGAGATGCTGTGAAACAACACCCACCACCATCCTTGAATCACTTCTCATACACGATCTTCTTCGATGGCCTGGTGGGTGGGGATGAGGCTTGGCCCACTTGCTCATTGCCTGATGATGCCCCAGTGTCGCTATGCTTCCTCTTCGCATCAGGACCATTCCACCAAAGTAAACTTCCCTTCTTGAGATGAATGATGTCACCAGTGGCAATACCAGCCCTAGCAAGTGTCTGGTCATCGATATCCATGAGGATGTCAGGCCCAATCGACTGCAGTTCAAGTTCCCATTCATAGAGGGTGGCATTGCAAACACCGAGGTTCAATTCAGCATAGCAAAGAAAGTGGGAGAGATGAGATGGAGATGGGATGGGTGGTGAAATGGGAGGATCCTGTGGCATGCGTGTGGGTGTCGCAGGAGGTGGAACTGGAGAAGTGCAGGCACTAGATACACTGGGTGACAAGAGGCCGGAATTTGCAAGTGTCTGAAGAAGGAGAACACCAGTAATAGAGTTGATATCAATATTTTGTGATGCCTGGGCTTGCACTTTGTGGGCTGGATGCAAAAACGGCGCTTTGTTGCTCCAATTGAAAGACTCGAGGTTTGGGGGAACTGACAACATAGCTTGCCCTTCATCCTACAGATAGTTTAGGGATAGAATGTTCATGAGTAGTGAAAGACTTGCCAATGCATGGCACCAGTCCAGTACCATCGCAGGTGAAAGGGGGATTGGCCCTGCTGGCCTGACATAAGTCATTCCCTCATCGTTCTCATTCTTGTACCAGCTCAGGAGTTTCATGCACCACTGGGCAAGGTGCATATCAAGGTCTGAATGTTTCTGCTTTCCACTAACCTCACCAGACAAGTTGCTCTTGTCTCCAGAGCCATCGATAGTTGGAAGTTTCTCCACATGTTTCATATCAACGTAGATCTTCATTGGGCCAGGGTGAATGCTATGAATCCTCTTGACCATATCCTTGTAGTCGACTTCATTATCGACATCGATCACATTACTGATGGCTTGGCTAAGGTAAAGCATGGTTAGCACAGATTTGCAGAGTGAGAAATGACTTACCTCTGTGCTTTGGGTGGTACAAACTTGAAGGGAAAATGTTTACTGCTTGAGACCCTATATTGTCCTTGACCATGCTTGTCCAGTACATGCTGTAGAAAATTGAGGTAGTTAGTATCGTTGACAGCAAAAGTAAGCTCTTTTGTCTTCATGGTCGCTTTTGGTGCAGTCTTTCCCTTCTCCTTTTTCTTGGGTCCATGGACAGAAAGCGAAATCATGAAAGAATGTAATTTTTCTGCGATGGGAGTGGGGGATTGCAACAGCAATGACATGTTGAAAAACAAGTCTGCCATAGGGATGAAGTCTAAGTATGTGCTTACACTACACAATGTTACCATAGAGGTGGTTTTGGGGTCCTATCCCGGCTATATCCAAACAGACTAATTGTCAAACAGATTTTCTGCATCGTTTTGCAAACAGCTGTAATTCCAGAAATGGATGGCATGAGTCAGGCATCAAAGGGCTTGGGCATTGGGGGTCTGTGGGGTAATGGGAGCATAGGCAATCATGTCTCCCACCCATTTGTCCTCTCAGTGAAGTTAATAAAAGCTTCATGAACAGGGCTCTGATGGAGGAGAGGGAGAAGGGGGGACATCTTCTGCTGGGTCTTGCAGTAAAAAGGCAAGATGTGCATCATACTCATCATGGATGCAATCAGAGAAGCTGGAGAACAGTAGATTATACTGCAGCTGTTGCAATGTGGGGAGAGTGATGGATGAGATTGGAATAAAGATGGTGCAGGGAGCAGGAAGGAAGGATCCATATGCTTCATCAAGTGGGGAGACCAAAACAACCACATAAGACCTCTGTAACTGAGTGACAGACCTGAGGTGACCAAAGAACATCCTTCTGGAAGTCATTGTCATGACCATGACACTGACATAAGCCCCTAACATTTACTCTGCCCTCTTCCACACCCTGGGAACCTTTCTCCACCCTCTTCCAACATGTTCCCATGCTCCTCTGACCCTTCTGACACATCTCTGCACTTCCCTGAGGTCCCCTGTCCATATTCCAACCAACTCTGCCCACCTCCACTCTCAGGCCAGTCATGTGAAGGCCAGACCTTTGCCTGCACCTCCTCCAAGACCTTGGTCAGTTTGTCAGGATGTTGGACTTGCAGCCCTGCATCCCAGATAGGGTTCTGCCCTTGTGTCAGTTTTTTCTCCATTCTTCCACTCCTTTGGTATTTACCCTCTCTCTCTCATTGTAGTAGTTTCCTTGTCTCAGTTAAGGTCCCCATCATCCCAACCCTCTATCCCCTGTGTCAGAGGGACTGCTAACCTGTTATATGCTTATTGGTTTGCATTTTAAACTGCACTGCCCTTGACCTATGTTGTATATAAGGCCACATAGTACTCTGATGTAATCAGTATGAATATTGAATAAAGGCCCCACCTTTGACTCCCTCTCAGTTCCCTCTGGAGTTTTGTCTCCACTCCCTCTGAGTCTGCTCCACCTCTGAAATACAAGGGCTGAGCTCACACAAGGGGGCAGTGCACTAGCTGAACCCAACACCCTCTCATCCAACCTCTGACCTCTGACTCTGACCTCTGCCTCTGAAACTTTCCTCCATACCCCTCCACTCACTGATTGTTGAATATCTTGCCACCCAGTGGTCAGATTTGCTTTGGACTTTGACTGCTGTACTCTGCAGCCCAACCTGCTCCTACTCCACCCTAAGAGGAAGTCAGGGGTGTTGTGCAATTCTGACAGTCATACTGACAAGGAGAACACACTGACCAAGCTGCATGGGATGAGATGGGGCTGATGATAGCCACCCAATACTCTGTCCTCCTCTGTTGACTCACTTCCTCTGTTGTTGCATCACCTCTCAACACTCCCCCTGGCCATTGTGACAAAGGTCCAACACTTGTGACAGGGGTCCAGTTGCCTGTACTCACTCACTTGTGCTCTTCAGGTCTGCACTGTTGGTTATGTATGCAATTTACTGTTGCTTTCATTGTCTTCTTGTTCACGATGTCCAAGGTGCCATAACTCATGCCACCTATCACCTGTTTATGACTTGGCAGAACCAGGCCTTTGCAGCCTCACCTATGTTCCAGATCCATGATCGCTTGAGGAAGCCTGGCATGACAATCATGTGGGACTTTCCAAAAGAAGAAGAAGAGGCATGGAAACCTGAGGTACCAGTCAATAGGCTCAACAAGGGTGAACTTTTTAAACAAACTGTGTCTCTTCTTGATGGCATCACCACTACCCATGATCATCAAAGTGACTGGGAGGCCTTTCTCCACAATGCCACCTAGGTAGGTTGTGACCAGGCCTACTTTAATGCTATCAGAACCACTGCACCACTTCCTTGCAAACCATTCCTGCCTGTCCCTACTGATCAACTTTGCTTCTGCTAGCAGCTTGGCCACCTGGTTGGCCTATGGTGATGATCTCCATTCATCTGATGAAGATGGATTTGACACTCCCCCAGCACAGTTTATGCTACCTCTCACTGATGAACAATGACAGAACCTCTCCAGCCTGGTGCATCACATCCAACCCAATGTGGTGAGACCACCCCAAACTTACCATGGTTTCCATAGCCCAACAAACAGGTTCACCTTTCTGTTCTTTCCAAATGTGTCAACTTCACTGATGCATGAATGGATAGACATGCATCCTTGACATTCTACAGCATCTCCCCTACTCATTATTCTCTGATATGCAACTACAGATTATCCTGTGGGGACTTATGGTCCTCAGCATTGATCATATCCCTTCCATTAGGAACCTCAAAGATCTTGATAGCACACTTCAGATGAAGTATGGAGTACCTTCACTATGCTACCAAGGATTGCTTGGCCACATTTATTATGTCAACCATCTCCCATCCATAGGAAAAATAACAATTTTGAAGCCCCAAGTTAGAGACACAGAGAGAAAGCAGAAATAATGATGTTGACATGACCCCTTCCCTCTCCCCTGCCTAGTGCTGAGTCACAGGCATAGTTGTGACAGTTTCTAGGCCAGCTCAAGGCTTCTCTACCCCTTAATCCATCATGCATTTCATTTACAGGTCAATTGACTTGTGCAACTCAGTCAAGTCCACTCCCTACCACCCTCCTACAGCTAGATTGACTCCCCTTGGGTTAAAATCACCCCCTCAGGTTGCCTATCCCTAGGCTGGAGCCCACATTCTCATGCTAGGTAGCAGATTCCTGCTCCCCACATTGGTAGAGCAAAGACAGCATCCATAGATAGTCATTTTGTTCTGATGACCACCTGTCAAGCTTGTCCCCCTCATCAAAGTTCATAAGCAACCAAACAATGTTGAGGAAGTCACCTGCTGAGATTGATAGTCCTTTCTCATGAGACCATGTGCTTGTGGCAGCAGCAAGTAGCTGATAGGCTGCATGATTGGCTGGGTTAAGCAAGGGGAAGGGGGAAGGGGGTTGTCCTTGGGGTTGACTACTGCCAGAGGTGGCTTCATTGGAGACACAGGATGAGGCTGCTCAGTTATCAGCATCATCCTTAACCTTTCCTTTATTCTCTCACACTCCCAAGGTGTTACTGTCCCTTCCAGGGGGGACTCTGCACAATGGGATATAACAGACTGAGAACAAGGAGAAGGCAGGAGAGTAGTTGGGGGTCTCAACCTCAGAGTGATTGGAACATCCCCCTGCCTGTGATGAGGGTGGGGAGACTGAGCAGACCATATTACAGGAGTAGGGGAACAAAGTGGGGACATCATGTTCACAGGAGGCATCATAAAAGGATCTGATATTGTCAACAAAGTCATTTCTGGTGTTGACAGAGTGAGGGGAGTCCATTAAAACTTGAGGTGACAAGCAAGTTTGTACTTGTCAAGCATGTCTTCCACATGCTCCTTTACATTTCCCTTGGGTTCCCAGGTATTGGATGAATGGGGGAACCCTTTCCATTTGATCATCCTGGCAGTTGACTTTACCAGTCACCCAATTGACACAGTGTCATACACCAAAGGTGTTGTGGACATGGTTACAGCTGATTCTGCCTACCTTGTTGACAAGTTGCACACCATGCCATGCAGATGAAGACTAAAGCCCTCATGCACAGAAGGATTGCTGGATGTGAGCAGTCATCCTTTGCACAAGGATGAGTCATCAGTGCTAAAGAAAAAAGAGGAAGCAAGTTGAGCACACATCAAAAGTTCTTAGTGCCTGTGTATGGCATTCTGGTTTTTGTTGTATCTACACCATTTCCAAAGATATCAACTCCATTCTCACACTTGCTTAAAGTGTGCAGCCACACCATCCTGCCTTCTGAGTTTGGAAAGGATCCTCACACCCTATGCATTTCTACAGCACTCCATCCATCAGATGCTCATTTTGCTAAGTCCATCAGATATGGCTGTCTCTTCATTAATCATCTTGCTTGTCTCTTTTGCCAGAGACAGTGGCTATGTATATCTGCCAGGTGTTCCCACCAGCTTCCATCCTGAAGCCCCCTGGTTCATCCCATTATCATCAGCCCCATCTCATCCCATGCAGCTTGGTCAGTGTGTTCTCCTTGTCAGTATGACTGTCAGAATTGCACAACACCCCTGACTTCCTCTTAGGGTGGAGTAGGAGCAGGTTGGGCTGCAGAGTACAGCAGTCAAAGTCCAAAGCAAATCTGACCACTGGGTGGCAAGATATTCAACAATCAGTGAGTGGAGGGGTATGGAGGAAAGTTTCAGAGGCAGAGGTCAGAGTCAGAGGTCAGAGGTTGGATGAGAGGGTGTTGGGTTCAGCTAGTGCACTGCCCCCTTGTGTGAGCTCAGCCCTTGTATTTCAGAGGTGGAGCAGACTCAGAGGGAGTGGAGACAAAACTCCAGAGGGAACTGAGAGGGAGTCAAAGGTGGGGCCTTTATTCAATATTCATACTGATTACATCAGAGTACTATGTGGCCTTATATACAACATAGGTCAAGGGCAGTGCAGTTTAAAATGCAAACCAATAAGCATATAACAGGTTAGCAGTCCCTCTGACACAGGGGATAGAGGGTTGGGATGATGGGGACCTTAACTGAGACAAGGAAACTACTACAATGAGAGAGAGAGGGTAAATACCAAAGGAGTGGAAGAATGGAGAAAAAACTGACACAAGGGCAGAACCCTATCTGGGATGCAGGGCTGCAAGTCCAACATCCTGACAAACTGACCAAGGTCTTGGAGGAGGTGCAGGCAAAGGTCTGGCCTTCACATGACTGGCCTGAGAGTGGAGGTGGGCAGAGTTGGTTGGAATATGGACAGGGGACCTCAGGGAAGTGCAGAGATGTGTCAGAAGGGTCAGAGGAGCATGGGAACATGTTGGAAGAGGGTGGAGAAAGGTTCCCAGGGTGTGGAAGAGGGCAGAGTAAATGTTAGGGGCTTATGTCAGTGTCATGGTCATGACAATGACTTCCAGAAGGATGTTCTTTGGTCACCTCAGGTCTGTCACTCAGTTACAGAGGTCTTATGTGGTTGTTTTGGTCTCCCCACTTGATGAAGCATATGGATCCTTCCTTCCTGCTCCCTGCACCATCTTTATTCCAATCTCATCCATCACTCTCCCCACATTGCAACAGCTGCAGTATAATCTACTGTTCTCCAGCTTCTCTGATTGCATCCATGATGAGTATGATGCACATCTTGCCTTTTTACTGCAAGACCCAGCAGAAGATGTCCCCCCTTCTCCCTCTCCTCCATCAGAGCCCTGTTCATGAAGCTTTTATTAACTTCACTGAGAGGACAAATGGGTGGGAGACATGATTGCCTATGCTCCCATTACCCCACAGACCCCCAATGCCCAAGCCCTTTGATGCCTGACTCATGCCATCCATTTCTGGAATTACAGCTGTTTGCAAAACGATGCAGAAAATCTGTTTGACAATTAGTCTGTTTGGATATAGCCGGGATAGGACCCCAAAACCACCTCTATGGTAACATTGTGTAGTGTAAGCACATACTTAGACTTCATCCCTATGGCAGACTTGTTTTTCAACATGTCATTGCTGTTGCAATCCCCCACTCCCATCGCAGAAAAATTACATTCTTTCATGATTTCGCTTTCTGTCCATGGACCCAAGAAAAAGGAGAAGGGAAAGACTGCACCAAAAGCGACCATGAAGACAAAAGAGCTTACTTTTGCTGTCAACGATACTAACTACCTCAATTTTCTACAGCATGTACTGGACAAGCATGGTCAAGGACAATATAGGGTCTCAAGCAGTAAACATTTTCCCTTCAAGTTTGTACCACCCAAAGCACAGAGGTAAGTCATTTCTCACTCTGCAAATCTGTGCTAACCATGCTTTACCTTAGCCAAGCCATCAGTAATGTGATCGATGTCGATAATGAAGTCGACTACAAGGATATGGTCAAGAGGATTCATAGCATTCACCCTGGCCCAATGAAGATCTACGTTGATATGAAACATGTGGAGAAACTTCCAACTATCGATGGCTCTGGAGACAAGAGCAACTTGTCTGGTGAGGTTAGTGGAAAGCAGAAACATTCAGACCTTGATATGCACCTTGCCCAGTGGTGCATGAAACTCCTGAGCTGGTACAAGAATGAGAACGATGAGGGAATGACTTATGTCAGGCCAGCAGGGCCAATCCCCCTTTCACCTGCGATGGTACTGGACTGGTGCCATGCATTGGCAAGTCTTTCACTACTCATGAACATTCTATCCCTAAACTATCTGTAGGATGAAGGGCAAGCTATGTTGTCAGTTCCCCCAAACCTCGAGTCTTTCAATTGGAGCAACAAAGCGCCGTTTTTGCATCCAGCCCACAAAGTGCAAGCCCAGGCATCACAAAATATTGATATCAACTCTATTACTGGTGTTCTCCTTCTTCAGACACTTGCAAATTCCGGCCTCTTGTCACCCAGTGTATCTAGTGCCTGCACTTCTCCAGTTCCACCTCCTGCGACACCCACACGCATGCCACAGGATCCTCCCATTTCACCACCCATCCCATCTCCATCTCATCTCTCCCACTTTCTTTGCTATGCTGAATTGAACCTCGGTGTTTGCAATGCCACCCTCTATGAATGGGAACTTGAACTGCAGTCGATTGGGCCTGACATCCTCATGGATATCGATGACCAGACACTTGCTAGGGCTGGTATTGCCACTGGTGACATCATTCATCTCAAGAAGGGAAGTTTACTTTGGTGGAATGGTCCTGATGCGAAGAGGAAGCATAGCGACACTGGGGCATCATCAGGCAATGAGCAAGTGGGCCAAGCCTCATCCCCACCCACCAGGCCATCGAAGAAGATCGTGTATGAGAAGTGATTCAAGGATGGTGGTGGGTGTTGTTTCACAGCATCTCTGATGACAATCAACAAAGATGACAATGGTAGCAAGCCAGCCCTGCTTGACTACGACCTTTATTATCACTGTGAGAGTCAAGATCAGTGGTTACCTGTGCCCTGGGGTTTCATCGTTGATGAGACTGGGGAGGAATCAGAGGACAACATTTTTTCTACATAATGCCTACATACCTTGCTTCATGTAATGCCTATGTCACATACATAGGTATTGTATCAATTGCAATGTCAGCCTAGAGGCCATTTTTCACATTCATACTACATTGAACCTGCACGCAAAATCGACTGGTAATTGAAGGGGGAATCTACTTAGACACAGTGATACAGTCACTACACTATGTACCCAGATGTGCAGAAATAACCCTCAGCCTTTTCAGGCATAATACTTTGACATGCGTGAACAATTGCCATCATCAATAAGTCATCCGAGTGGTGATGCAAGTATGCCTTGATTGTAGAAAATGCTTGCTCGATGGGGTTGTAGTCTGGTGAGTATGGCAGGAGATAGATCAACTTGCAGACTGTGAGACATCAGCGAAAGAAATATCAATTGATGGATAGTCATGTATGATGCATATCTTCAACTAACTTGCGAATTTCCTCACCATGGTGA